AAAAAAAAAGGAAACCTGGTTCAAATTTTCAGTTGACCATCACACACAAATTAGCGGTCAAACAAAGTAGTTAATGGTAGTTTAGGTGATCAGTTAAGTTGTTCGAGTAAACAGCACACATCTAGAGGGGATTTGATACAATTAATGGCTGAGTGTATGGATAATTTATTAGCTAATAAGTCTAAAAGCATGATTTCATTTGAAGTTGTCAAAAGTTAATAGCCTAGAAAATCCAAACCATGTTGAACTTTATGTCAAATCTAGATCTAGTGAATTTGTATAATCATTTATAGAACATATGCATATTTTTTATGAAGGTATTCATAGATGACTAATAATTAATTATAGCAAATAAAAGTTTGTTGCTAATCTAAACAAGAGGTGAAATCCAAACCAAAAGACATGCTCATGGTGCTTCAAAATAAAAAAAAAGAATACCTGCAAAAGTCTTTAGCAATTACTGAAGAAAAGTGAGTCATACAGAGTTTTGAAATTTATTAGGACCATAAAACACTTAAAATTCCAATATATACTAGCATATTGAATTGAGTAAAACTTGATAGCTTCCGTGTAATTTCTATTTTGGGGTCCTTTTTTGGGCGGTCAATTGCAGTAAAATTAAATATTAAAATAAAATGTTATCTTTATATGTATTTATGAGCACTTGCTGGATATGTATTCTTTAAATGCTTCATAGATAGATTTAGGTATTTACTTTCAGGGGATACTCCTTAATTCACCGCCCTGATTTTTTCTTTCTGTGATTTCTATCATTACAGTTGCCATCCACAATCATTAGTTGGATTTGTATAAGAATCTATATTTATCATTGTTTTCATGATAGAATTTTTTATTTGGGGCAGTCATTAATTATATATTGCAATGAATAAAGCCTAATAACAAAGTTTGGGTAAAGTTAAGAATTAGTAACCTAAGGATTGTGAAGTTGTGTTTTTTACTTTGCATCTCATCCATGTTGTATTAGAAGCCCTAAACCCTTAAATGACCTACATCATTTAACTTTATTAATCCTCATTGAAAACAACTTGGTCAAAATTTATGTTGATGATCAATTTTGACAATAAGTTTTACCTTCAAAGAACAAATCCAAAGCTTTTAAAAAGGATGAAACAATTATGGATGATCAAGAAGTTCAAAAATTAGATGCCTGCAATTAGAGGTAACTTGAAGAATAAGCAGCTTGCCTTTGCCGATCACATAAGTTGATACAGTTGAAAACTAACAGAACAATTTATAAACTTATTAGGCAGCTAGAAAGCAATAAAGTAACAAAGAACCATAAATGATTAACCCTATAAACTGTATCCTAAAGAGCTATTATTACAGAAGAGCAATATAAAATTGGGGAAATTACGAACCTGATAGATTAAGATGAGGAACAATCTGCCTATATCGCTCGAGGGCCTCCACAAAACCACAACAAGGACGGTGATCGCCGAAAAAACTGAACACATGTTGGTCTCGAGTGGATGCTTTTGCAGAAAGCAAAAAAATAAAGTCATGAGAAGCGAAATAACATACCAAACTGTTACAAGAAATAAGCACAGATAGAAAGCGCTCACCATCACCGAACCCAAAACAAGGTATCAAGTTGTCCTCATCAAAGGAAGAAAGAGTACGACCAAGGATAGAAATGGCTTGCTCATATGGATTAGGGGCCTTGCTAAGAGCATGGAGAGATTTCCTTCTAAATGAATGCCTTCCTGTGGTGTGTAGACAGGTATGGTCACTTCTTAGACATTTTAAACGAGGGGCATTTACAGACATACCACACAATTCTTATGTATTTACATATCTAACACCAAAATTTTGGTATATACATGCATAGCGCTCAAATCTTTAATATCACTATCACCTACTTTTTAAAAGTTAAATAAAACTTTTTATACATAGCTTTATCACACCAAAGTGTTATAAATGTAAATATGAAAGCTTTGGTGCTAGATATGTAAATATACGAGAATTGTGAGGCATGTATGTAAATCTTTCTATAAACTAACAAACAAACAAACCAACAAAAAAAAACACAGAATATGGTAAACAACAGCATCAATATGTTGATGCTAAAAAACACATCATTTCACCTGTCCATTCATTGCTTTTTGTGAAGTCAATACCGAGAATTAAATTAGATGATTCGAGACCAGATTCTCTCAACGCCGATGTTACCTAAATCAAATAAGAAAACAATTAAGATTTAAAATAGAAAACAGATAAAATAGGTTAAGAAAGTGCACATGGCCCAAGAAAACTGTAAAAGCACAAGAAAACTGCTTAAAAACTCACAATCAGATTCAACAAATTCCTTCGCTCATGTCATGCATAAGAAAAATATTTTCTCTACAGGAGACAGCGGGTAAACGCTTAATTAATTTCCTTATGAACAGTGATTGATTGGAAAGAATCGTTTTTCCATCTTTCTCGCCTTTTATTTTCTTGTTTTTGGTATTTTGTGGAATGATAGCAAGCACATATGCGCATGCTTGTTATTTCAAAGTTATGAGAACAGTAACATTCCTTTCCTGCTCTATTGTAGAATGCGAATAAAAAATTGGGATATTTACATATATTTCTCCCAATTCCTATGCATTAATATATCTAAGACCTAAACTCCTATTTTTACAAACATATCATCTTACCTTACCTATGCATGAAAAGGTGGATTTCACTTTTAAAAGTTAAAGATTTTGGTGGTATAAATGTAAAAAAAAAAGTAAAGTTTATGCGTTAGGTATGTAAATACATAAGAATTTGGTTGACGCAGAGCATCCAAACAGCGGAAACCACGATCCGAACTTAGGAAATCCGCGATTCCGCAAGATTGCAAGTAGTCCGTGATCGCGGAACCGACAGCCACTTACCCAAATTCTGATTTTTGCCCCTTCTTTCTTTTTTATATTATTTCATATTTTTTTCTTCTAATTAGGCTTTCTTTATAGTAGGAAACTATGTATATGTTGTTGATTTTCTGGTACGAGGATTTTAAGTTTGGTTTGTGTGTTTCAGATATTTTATCTCTCATTTCTACCCTAATTGAGAGTTGTATCATTTTCCTTTTGCAAGAGATGGGTCTGTATCTTGCTTAGAAACATGTAGCGGAACCTCCTCACCGTCTGAATGTCATCCTTCCCTTACCATTCCACAACCTCCTCCCTACAAAACCCACTTCCTAAACACGATCTAAGAGTCCTAAAACGGTATCATCTTGTATCAGAGCACGATAAACCCTCAATTTTTTAGGATTTTCTTTGTCGAATCCTAAATTATCTTGTGAATCATGCCCAAAGAATAAAGCATCGATCGAATAAAAGAAAGAGAAAAAAGACAAATAATATAATTTTTTAAGAACTTTTAGAATCTGTCCCTTAGTGAAAATGATCCCCCTATTTAAAAATTCTAATCAAAATATAACAAATTACATAATTGTCACTCGTTTAATGGAAATGTTACTATAATTTATAAGTCATTACACGTTTACATATTTGTAACGAAATAATATATGTCTTGACACTGTAACTGTTGTTAGTGTCGTTTTGCAT